ACTACCACTACGACTACGACTACGACTACTACTACTACTACTACTACTAGTAGCTAGAAGCTACTAGTAACAAGGGCATCGCTACTAGCTTCTAGCTACTAGTAGTACTGCCCTTGTTACTAGTAGCGATGCACGTGTTACTAGTATTTCAACTTGCACCAAGGATGAGGCTTCTTTCAGCCCTTCAGCTCACACGACAAGTCGCTGCCTCAGCCGATGGAGATCATTGTCTGAACCCAGCACCGGCCCCAGGACAGACTGCAGCCTGGCCGACATGCAGTCGAGACGAGCCGAGACCGAAACTCCGGCAATCAAGTGTCAACACGCAACTCCGCACAGTCGAACATCAAAAGGGGTGACCGGGTGACCGTATCTTGCAAGTTAAGAAGGAGCAGGATACGGAGTTCTTGAGCTGAACGTGGACAGGCAAAATGGTCGACCTTGTCTTCTTCAATTCCACATCCCAAGTGTCCGGAGCGTGTCCGGAGCGTGTCCGGAGCAGCTTAGCCGTTTTGCCTCTGCCAGAGTTCTTGGGGATCTCCAAAGAGCTGGGCCACCTGCATGCGTCCACGTTGGGGGGGTCCGAAGGTTTCCAGGAGGCCTTCCTTCACCACGGCTTCCAATTCATCAGGTTCTTTTTGGAGGGGGCGCTGTTGACCACGTCCATTTGTAAGTCTATCAAGCCTCACTGACTCCTCCTTTTGGATCCTTTTGGTAGGAATCAGCAAGACAGGGCAGGGGCTGCATCCCTGCAACCATCTTTTCGCAGTTTGCATGGGCAGTGGGTATTGGCTCTGCCCCATTCCAGTATCAAACTTCTGCTTGGACAAAGCAAGTGTGGTTCCGTCACTTGGCACGTCATGTTTGTTCCAATCATGATCCGAGAGCTCCGAAATGGCCCCTCTGAGGATCTTGAGGGACAAGTGATTGGGCAGGAGGAGAACATCAATGCGCGCCACCCTCCCACGCCAGCACGGGAGGCACCTGCTCTTCGATGGCCTGCCGTGCCTCCAAGGACATGCCAGAAGAAAGGAGCAACACCTGCCAGGATCCAGAACGGTCGACACATGGCATGGATGTCCAAAAAGTATGCAACAACTACACATCAGTGGGGCGAGGTTTGCAAAGGAGCAGCACAACAACTACACATCTGTGGTTGACACGTTCTGTCAATAAGGGACTACAATTACAAAATACATGTGTCACTTCGTTTCTGCTTTTGGCTTTAAGTGTGGCGTTTCACGTGAGTAGTAGCAAGAAAGTAAGAGTTTTTGACCAAACTCTGAAAAGCACTTGCCTGGAGGCCTGAAGCATTAGGTATAGACTAGAGGCATGGCACGTGAGAGCATCAGTCGACGCAATTACCGGATCTAGCATGGTCCAGCCATTCAAAACATCGATCGCTGGGTCCGACAATTGGTGAGACTGCCCACTGGTCCAACTGTGCCTCCTCTACGCCCAGCTTGGTGACATACTCGCTGAGGGTGCTTTCAGCCTTGCGATGCTGAGCCGTCCAGAGTAACGCCGAATGAGATCGAGTGCTCAAAACACAGGTGGTAAATGGAATGAACGACAAGATCTGGGTGACATGTGCGGACATGGGTGACATATGCCATCTGCTCTGGATCTACTGTAGTTCCGCTTGGAAGTTGCGCACTGTATGCGATATGAACCACAGTTAAACTCCCAAGAGGTCCGCACTTATTTCTGAGCCACAGCCAGAGAAGTTTCAGGCAAGACATCCTTGGTTTTCCAAGGAGTGGCCTAGAAGCTTCCCTTCTCCTTCGAACAGAATGCAGGATAGGAACCAAAGGCGCCCGAAAGACGTTGATCTTTCAAATACCACTTAGCACTGCTGGCTGTCCGAAGGAGAGTCTGGACTTTGCACCTCGCACGTGTCCTCGATGTCACCGGGGTCGAAGGGTGGCCCTGAATTTCGGTCGCCGAAAGTGCCACGACCCCAGGCAGTGAGCAGCCCATCCTTCAAGGCCAAAAAACTACTGGCGCTGCCTTTTAAATCTTCGGATTTGCACAGCACAGCACTGTTATCCGCACCTCCAGGGCGAGCTCTAGAAAACTCCGAGCTCGAATCAGGAGCGTTTTGGTGGTAAGATCAGGCAAGTGGACCCATGGGATAATCTATTGATGATGGTATAGAACGAAGCTCATAGGCAACGGCAAGGTGGTTCCAGCTGGCTTACATGTCTTTCCTCCACAGCATTGTCAGAGTTCACGGCCATCCTAGAGAAGATGACCCCAAACACAGACAAAGTCACGCAAGTGCCACACATCTTTCCAATCTGAAGAGCCTTTCGGTCCCAGGCGCTGAAATGCCCAGCTTGAGAAACCGAGAAACCCGTGGAGTTGACGGTTTTGGACCCGTTTGGAATCGGCCGAGTCCAAAGCAACGCTGTAAAAAAGACACCTGATCTTTGTCCAAGAATGAATCCACCCACTTGTCCGAGCGAACGACTATCCCTCAATAAAGGTTAATGTCTGTCAGAGACCCACAGTGCTTGATCCTTAAGTGTCCTGCTAGGCTTCATCTATTTTTGGGATTGGAAAATCGAGGAGAAGATGGCCACCGCGCCACCGCGCCACCGCGCCACAGGCCCGTCGACTCGTCGACCCTCCGCGACCCTCTGCTCGTCGCCTGCGAAGAAGCTGCCCCAGGTGATCACCTGCCCATCCGCACGGATCGCTGCGAAGGCGCCGGAGGTCGATTCAATCTGCTGAATCTGCTGGAGCGCGTCGTGCACCGCAGTCGAGTCGCCACCCAGGTCTGCATGACCCCAGGAAATCACCTCTCCAGTGTCCAGAATGGCTGCAAAGGCACCTGAAACGGCGAACAGTGTGGACACACCGGAAACTTAGGCACGCGGACTTTAAAAGACCTTCCTTCCAAATCTTTCCAGGTGGATGGGCCGAAAACCATTTGTCAGGCAAAAAAGCTGCAGTCCCTTCTTCTTTTTGTGCTTTTTGTGCCAAACTCCCACCTGCTGTGGACTGAATGTTCAGCACGTGCACATCCTGCGGCACTGCGCGGCTATCACCTCCGAAATCTGGATCACCCCAGGAGACAAGGCCCGTCTCGGCGGAGAAAGCGGCAAAGGCCCGGTGCGAAGCCTTGCATTCAAAATGGCACCGAAGATATCACGATGTATCCAGTATTGGATGTTGTTTTTGTCTATATTTACTTTGGGCCTTTTCATCCACCCAAATCGATCAAGTGGTATCTTCACCATCTTCACCCACCCATTGATCAAGCGAACATCCATGCCTCCACGCTTCATGTCAACCAAGCCATGAGCACCCTGTGGCCCTAGTCTTGAATCTCAAGAAATCCAACATCTACTCATCCCTTTGTCTTCCCTGCACCTCTGAAAACCGATGATCTTCCCAAGATACCTTCAGCTTGTGCCCGGCCTGGATCATCCGCACATCTCTCAAGCGCGCCTCCGGTGCTCCGCAGTGTCCGCCAAAGGCCCTGTCGCCCCAGGTGATGACGCGCCCGTCGGCCGACAGCGCGGCAAACGCGCGCTCGGTGGCTGCAATGTGGACCACATCCATCAGCTCTTCCTGGAAAGAAAGAGCAGAGAGATTAGCTGGCGAGACTAGCACTAAACCACGAGCAATTTAGGGACCTTAACCACTCCACCAGCCAGCTTCTTAGCTGGCGAGAGACGAAAATCCAGACTTTCTCGAGACGAAGGAGGTGAAACCGAAAGAGGGTAACAAACTTGTAAGAACAAATAAGAACGAGTAGGCACTGAAACCGAACTTTTAGGAACCGAACGAGAAGAGGTTCATCAGTCTGAGAGACTGAAAATGTAAGTCTATGATGTCGATTCATTCATGTAGAATCTAATTATACTTTAAAACTCTACCTCCATCCGTGGTCTATCCACTTGGTCGATGTCTCCGTCTTCTCCCAAAAAAGAAAATAGCCGCATGCGCCACCCGTCGCCACCCGTCGTCCGACGGACTCGGACGACCGGACCGACCTGCACGTCGCTGCTATCGCCCCCGAAGGCGCCATCGCCCCAGGTCACCACGCGACCATCCTCGCGAAGAGCAGCAAAGGCTCGGCGCGAGGCAAAGATCTTGCGCACCTGACAGGTCGAAGGACATGTTCTGCCTCTTGTCGAAGGCGACGTCTCCGAAGCGGCATAACACAGATGA